CCCCCCCTTCCACTTTATCTTATTCTATTGATCATCTTAAATTTCACTCTCACTGCCCCCCAAAGAACCCATTGTAATGACATCGTGTTGAACACTACTTTTAATGGCACCACTCATTAAGGCGTTGGTACACTAGCAACTCTACAATCATCAGACGCGAGACAACAGTCAGAACGTGTAACCCACTTTAGATTTTCACTGCTTTGAGACAAGGTTACATGTTTTAATTCTACATTTTCAGACTTCTTGCAAATCTCAAGGATTCGTTCTAAAGATATCAGCTGTGACGCTCACCAAAAACGAAAGTAAGTTTGAAAATGTTTCCTGATATCATAATGTATTTTGTATTGATATTTGGAGGTCTTTCTGGGCTTCAGTGTTGGAGGGGAGACTGATTCAGGCATGGAAATATCACCATATCTGCCGCTGGGCAGTCTCTGGTCAGACACCAACTCTACCTAAAAATATGAGGTGTCCAATAATGCTGTGTTTGTTTGAATGACGGATATTGGATTGTTTCCTTTCAACATATAGGTCTGCCATGGTTTCCAAGCCTGATTTGTGCGCCTTTGTTGCGCAGCTGTTGGATACTTATCCCTTTAAAAAACATATCGAACGGATAGAGTTATTCTTTCTTTTTTATATAGTTCTCATCTTTTTCAAATAAGATGGTTGTTTACACAGTGTAACTTAGTGACTATCTTTTATCCCGACTACGTTGTCCCTCCCTACCATTTATTGACACCCCTTCACTTAAGTGTGTATCAAGTTTGACCAAATGACCACTGAGGCGTTCTTGGACGGTTGGTGTTTACGGAGTCGTTAAGACTGTCCACTTACATGTAGTAGGCTTGGTCCTATCAAAGAGGGAAACGTTGATCAGGAGGCACCACGCTCTAGTACCGACAGGGTTAATTATAACCGTATCATACCCCATGTTGTTCATCAGCCAGTCATTGAGTGAGCATCATTCCCAATGGGACAATTATGATGGAGTTTCAAGATCACCAACATTCTAAGGGGACACCGAGCCGACATTTAAAAAGAAATTTTATTCCTTTTTTTTTTAATCACGTGTCCTGATTTGGTTTTAGATATTAGATATTAGTATGGTAAGTTATGGTAGATATTGTTAAGAGTTGGATTCTTCAGAATAATACCAAATATAAAGATAACGGGCTATTGTTTTATAACTGGGTTAATTATCGTTCTTTACAATAATTTTGACGATTAACAGTACTGATTAATGATGATGATGATGATGATGATGATGATGATGATGATGATGATGATGATGATGATGATGATGATGATGATGATGATGATGATGATGATGATGAAATATTACATTGAGAAGGATTTAGATTCAGTGTTTAGACTTTAGTAGATGGTGGAGAAGCAGGGCGGTATAATAACTCTTCAGCTATAGACATCTCATATAACACACATTTCCAATTCTAGGCTATTTTTCTTCCAAACAATGTTCCCATGCCGGAATGGAACCTGGACCACCTGGTCCTATCCTAAACATTTTACAGTTGGTATGAATCAGAATGAAATATGACTTGGTCCACTCCACAGGGTCAGTGGTACAGGCTTTTCGTGCTACAAAACTATTTCTGCCGAAAATTCGAAGTACAAAGGTAAGAGATATTGTGAAAATCTATCTTTTCGCTATTTCTTCTCATCCTTCTCTTATGAAGAGAATGGATCGTCTAACATGGTCCCTTCTTTCTTTATTGTTTGTTGAGATGTCACATTTGGCAGAACTGTGAGAAGGGTTAGTACAACTGAGAAAGATACAAAAAATATTTGATGCTGATCTGGCTATCTCTCTCTCTCTCTATCTCTGTCTCTCTGTCTCTCTGTCTCTCTCTCTTCTCTCTATCTCTCTATCTAGACCTATCTATCTATCTATCTATCGTAGGCCTATCTTTCTTTGAGTTTGTGTCTTTTTCTTTTACTATATAATACTTTTGTTGTAACTGGTTACAGTCGACGGAAGTGTGTAGGCCTAACCATAAACCGTCATCTTCCTACAGCTGCTACTGCTAGCGAAGCTGTCAACGTTGTCAGTATCCAGGGTGCAGCAGAGAGACGTATCACTCTTTTAGAAGACATAATATTTGAAGTCCCAATAGTGTAAAGCGATAAGTGTGGGAGTCTTTTATTTTGTTTTTGTAAGTGTTTTACGGCGCTCGCAACTGCATAGGTCATAATATGAGCGCGCGGGACACACCTAAAATTTTCAGTTGGTAGGAAATTTTGAATTTTGCCCGGGTGGCGGCCGAAGCCTACTCTTATCGATTTTAGACCACCAAGGGATCTTTAACGTGCGCAACCTGCACACGGAACCTCCGAGATTTTTCGCCCTTGTCCGAGAAGGCTAGGTGTAGATCTCTCCTACCAGAAGATCAGGGGTGTGGCAGAAAGACAGCAGTAAGGAGGAGCCAAGGAGTAGCAGTAGACAGGCTGCAGAAAGAGTCAGGAGCCCAGAGGAGGGGGCAAAGGAGGTGAGGGGGTGGGGGCAGAAAGTGGAATTGAAAGCAGACAACAGAACATTGCTAGAGAGCAGGAAAGGAGGTGAAAGGAGACAATTTTAGAGAAGAAAATTTTTCGGTCGCTACCCGGATTCGAACCCGGGACCTTTGAATGAGAGGCCAACACCTTAACCTCTAGGCCACGAGAGCCCCCTCTGGGAGTCTTAAAACCAACAATATGTTGACAGTTTGAAAAGCATCCGATCGTCACGACGTAAAAATGAACATTCCCTAGTAGGGAGGATTAAGAATGTGAAAGAGGAAGCAGTGTTTTGAATCCTCAACAAATAAAGCAAGATATTGATTATCACTTAACACAGAAATTATGTCAACCTCATTTTTTAACTCGATGTTTCCTGATATATCAGTCTGTCAAGTTATCAGAGAATTTTTCGAATAAAATAAAATTACGAATTTAGCTGAGGTAGAAATACTGAAAAGCTGAGACAGACAGACAGACAGACAGACAGACAGACAGACAGACAGACAGACAGACAGACAGACAGACAGACAGACAGACAGACAGACAGACAGACAAAGAAGAACAAGAGCTCATATTATTTCTATAAGTGTATAAACAAGCTCACAAACGCGCGGGCGCGCGCGCACACACACACACACACACACACACACACACACACACACACACACACACACACACACACACACACACATACCCCCCCCCACACACACACACACATACATACATCTACCTACTTACCTACTTAACGACCTACCTATCTACCTACCTACCCACCTACCTACCTACCAACCTACCTACATACAAACATACGCACGCCCGCACATTCAAACATGCATACACAAAAACACACGCACATACATAAACACACTCTTACTAACGAAAGCGTAAATGTCCCCGCTAGTCTTAATTAATTCAATAATACGTCTAATTATAGTGAAAATTCCAGGCGGTCTCTGTGGCGCATGTCCGAGTCATTACATACGTGTCGACGCATTAGCGATATTGCTAAACACTGATGCATGTCATTATAAGCCCTCTTCAGCTGTTTCCGTTTCATTATCATAATTATTATTATTTGGCCCAATCAGCAAAATTTTTCACTGGTATGGTAAGTTATATAAACCAAGTAGGGGAAAAATTCCACCATTTCCGTAGCACTTTCGCTACCTCAGAATTGCAAACTAATACTACATGTATTCCATTCCACAGTGCTGACTTGAATTGATTATCACAACTCTCAATCATCTGTGCACCCTTTTTCAAACCATCACTGCTGTATGGGTGCTTCTTTAGTTCAGTTCATGTCATGCTGGACTACGAAGTGGGTGGCCTTGGTTCGAATCTCAGACCGGGCTTTTTTAACTCGGGTCGTTTTGTCGCGTTTTCAAGGCTCTCAACCTATTAACTCGGTTCTATCGGAGACGGACGCTAAATAAGCTAACAGTGTTCATAGGCGCGTTAGACCCAAGCACTGTCCATTCCACTGTACTGACCTAAACTGACTGACACATCTCCCAATTGACTGGGCATCCTCTTTTTAAACCATCACAGTGGGTGGTTGGCGGTTGTTCTGGTGTTGTTTGCTCACTTTACTTTCAAGCATCTATTGTCCTTATCTCTCCTCCTTTTCTGTGTTTGTCACTGTCTTGTAAAACATCTAATCCCTGGCACTTATTTGACCTAATTGTGTTGCAAGTTCCGTAAAACTCATACTGAAACTAAAACCTATACGGCTGTATGTTGACCTTTCCTCAGAGATCAGCCCCAGTGTGAGTGTCATTACAGGGCTGGACGAGGCTTCCAACTACTACTATGGAATAGGGAACACCGGGCGGACTTACGTCATCAGTTATGACAACACTGTCACGTGGTACACAATCCCCGATGACGAATATTACAACGCAATTTCATCAAATACGTTCCTCTCAGCGACTTTCACTTGATGAGTTCAAAGGGAAATATTTTCAGTGTGTTAATTTATATTACGATTAGGTTTTAAACGGTTACTCTGCTGATTAGAACTAGATGAAATGTCTTGCTCAATGCAAATTTGGTTTCATTTTTTTAAAGCAACCAAGTTAGCTATTATCCTTCAAGACCAGTACAGGAAAAAGACTCATGGCACACCCTGCACCTACACACGCTCACACACACACACACACACACACACACACACA